AGTTTATCATATTATTAGAAATAAATACAATTTTTTTCTTACCAAAAAAATTGAAATTAGAAGATATCACTGGACTAGTCAAAAATTTAATTTTTTTATAATAATTATTATTTTGAATTTTAATAATAGTTTGGCAACCTCGCATCCAATTTCACTCTCAATCGTACTCTTTCGAATAGTAAAAAGCATGTTCTTTGTTATTCCGGCACTGCGCGCAACCGTATATGCCCAAAAAGGTAAAACGCGCGCAATCGTACTCCATCGGGTTCGAGGTACCAATTTATGAATATAAAATGCTAATATAAGCATTTTGTCAGAATGTCAAGTAACCCTCTACGCTTATTGGTTTTTGAATTCAACAACATATCAACAATTAATTTAAGAGAAATTGTTCTTTGAAAAAGTTATAGATAATATATTAATATGGCTAGAAGGAGTCGCCGCATTAGACTAATATAAATACTATTGTTAATATTTTCAATTAAAATTATTTTTGAAAAAATAATACAATTTATTATTTGGAAGTTAAAAGCATATTATAATTTATAAAAACAATTTATGACTAAATTGTGTTGAGTGTGAAATCCTTCACAAGTTACATAATATAAAAAAAAAACATCCCCCTACAAAATTCTCGTCCTTGCCACTACCTTGCCTAACTTTGGGTATTAAAGTATTTATAAAAAAAATATCTCAATTGTATAAAAGCTAATATATAATTATAAGCTTCATATGCTTAAAATAATGTCCAAATAATTAACATAATGAATGAGGTTTATATGATAATATTAAATCCAGTTTTGTACCTTCCAGGTTTTTACATTCCAGGTTTATAAGAGCTCCCGTCGGCGACACACCGACAACGGTTCCCTCTTCGGAAATGCGGGAACAGTCGAGCGGTGCGCTGCGTAACGACGATTACACGAGCAAAGTCCCCAACCTATATCATGTGCCCAACAACAGGTATTAATAATATCAGATAATACAAGTAGGTATACAACAGTAGTAGTACGTTAAATAAAATTAACTTTTACCAAAAATTGTTATCGTGTGTTTAAAACAATATCATATTATGCTTTAAAAGGATCAAGTACCTACCAATGAATTTACTTTGTCAAAATATATATTTTTTTCTTTTAACTAAGCTTTTTCCTTATTTTTGTTTTGTTTTTATCGATAATTTTGAAAACTATGGCCAATATTAATTAACATGTACATTTATTAAACTATAAAATGTTTTCAAAATATAACATCAATTTTTATAGTTTGTTTCAGAACAAATGCCAATCGATACTAACTAGTCGGTAGTCGATTTTTACTCATAACAGGGGTTCACAATTTGGGCTGGGAAATAAAGGCGAGTGTAATTTTAAATTATCCCGCCATATTTTGGTCTTAGTTTTGGAAACCTTTACGAAAAATCTCCACTCGACACGTTAGTATTGACGGACATAGATATCATTTCCTCTGATGAAAATTCTATTTGTGTTATAACTTATAATAGTTAAATAGGCATAAAAAATCATTAAAAAAAAATTGAAGATTTTTGAAGCATTACTTTTTTGGAGATTATTTCGATAGTAAAATATACATTAGTAATGATACTACATTCAATAGAGGAAATTTATATTTTTGACACATATTTTGAGCATGCCCCTAGCAGCCTCCCTCCCCTGGAGCCGCCTAAGCTTCACTTGGATCTTAAGATGTCAGCACAATCATTGTCAAATTTCATATCAAAAAACAGTGTGCAGATCGTTTGCTTTAGTTACCTTAATATAAACCTCAGATATCTTTAATTAATTTATTTACCGCCCAAAATATGAGCAAAAATTACAGAATATATTTACAATAATTAGATGTGGTCACGTATATGATAAACACAGAAAATCATATCAAAATCAAAATTTGTAAAGTTATGTCAAGAACACACACAAACATTTAACGAGCGCATACGGTTTAATCAATCATGTATATGTTATCGTAGCTATCAATTTAACACGGCACACAAACACTCATTGTATGAAGCCCTCAATAAACACTCAGTGTGAAAATGCTCTCGTTTACGTACCTAGTTACAGACATTTCCTTAGAATTAAAATTAGTTAAATTATGGAATATAATCATTTATAATGGTAAATGGTTTTATGTCACACTGTCCTGATGACGAAAGATTAAAAAAATACTGTGATTACTTGACTGACAATTTCATAAATGAAGAGAGCTTATTTCCACCTCAATGTTAGGCTGCTGCGTCGGCAAGTCTGACTAGAACTACAGTAAATGCTTGCGAATCGTTCCACTCCTTTTTCATTCAAAGCTTTTATAAACATACAACTTCCATTATGAGCTGATTAGCTGTCTCTATTAATGAAGTTCAAACAGGTACATAAATAAAAATAGAAGTATCAACATTTTATAAACATTTCGTGATGAAAAAAATATGAAACGGCAATGACGAAATGAAGATTACAATGAAGACCACAAAAATATTAAAATATGTTGTTACAAATTTTTCAAACAAATATCTGAAATATCATACAATTATAAAAAATGAAACTTGAATTGTAATTCTTGACATATCAATAAATGTATACTTTTTTATCATAAATATTATTTTTGACACATTCATTAATGTGTATTATTTTATCGTTATTATTATTTTTGAAATATATGTCAATATCGAAAAATTGGAAAACACTTATTTCTAAGAACTTTTATCTCTTTTTTAAAAGGAATTGTAATATATGAAATGGCCCTTACTGGAAAAAAACTGTGAACAAAATCAATGTCTAGTGGGTACGAATATCCAGGTGAATTCCAGAGTGACTGTAAGTTCCACTTTAAATTCGACCGTTATAATATTACAGTATGTGGTGTGTGCTTCGCTAATCTGATGTTCAAAATTATACTTGTGATTTACCTGAATATGTTAGAATCATATGGTCAATATATACACTAATCAGTTATGACTACAGAATCGATATACTGGTAAACAAAAAGTACCTAACAATAACCATCGAAAGAAATACATTTTAATTTGAAATTTTTGAAAAAAAAAATTTGTTAAGGACTTTCCCTATCTGTAGTGTATCTTCATTTATTATTTTCCTGCATAGTACTGTATGAGCATATATTTATAAACATATCTGAAAACATACACCTTTGAATAGTATATATACAACTAAATACATAAACCTTATAATGATATTAAGACACCTTAAACAAATATAGAATGCAACAAAACATGCGATAGGAATTCAAATTAATTTTGTTTGAGCTGTTTAAAATCATAACTTTGTTGAGCTCTTAACGAGGAACAGAAGATGTCAGGGATATCATTTTCTATATTGTATTTTTTATTATTAAATTATATTTTTTCTATTTCTAAACTCATAGAAATAAATAGGTACATAAAAATCAATGAATAAATAGTAACAACATTATTTAAAGTCGTAGATTTCCAATACATTCAAATTTTCTAAATGTTGCTCCAGTGATGAATTATCGTTTTCTAAACATATGTAGTATTTTTAAAATGTATAAAAATCAATATAAATTAGATATCTCAATTTGAAAAAAAAGTAATTAAATTTTGATACATATATTTTAGTGTTGTTCAGATGAATCTACTTTAAATACAAACGTTAAAAAATTATTTATTTAATTCTAAATTCTATCTTAATATCAACAACCATATGAGCCAGTAACAAATGGATAAGATAGAGATATCAGGTGTTCCAATATTGATGTTTAGAAACATAAAACCATATCCTAGGACACTCAACACATTTGTTTTTGTTTCATCACTAGCGTTTTTGATAAGTTAATTAACTGAAATTCCAAGGTATTGTTAAAATACAATTTCACAATAACACAATAGTCATTTGTAATATTATAAGAACAACATTTTCATTCATTTCTTGTTTTTCTTTAGAGTACTAGTCTCGCATTATTTGATTCAATAACTCGATTTAGTGATAATTTGATTATAAAACTTATACAATTCGTCCATGAGCTGACCACAACAACGATTTTTGCCACGAACGGGAAATGCGTTTGTAGATCAATGAAAACGGAAAATAAGAGAAAGGAACGATGAAAGTAATGAAAATGGAATTGCGATTACAGCATGTTAAGAATGTGGAATTGCTAAAAAAATTATTATTGATAACGCCGACGCGCAACGAGTCGACGCAATACTATCAGTCCCTATGCGACCTTGCGAGATTAATATATGATTATCACCCGTGCTCTTGTTGATAGGACAGGGAACTCGCATAGGTATACTAGTACACTAATCTATCGACGATGTATGGCGATCTATAAGTTTAATACCCCATACTTGTAAGTCATAATAAATTGTGAAATTTATGGGCATTATTTTTTCTTCTTAAAATAACCATTTACTTATTAGCCTTTGCACCGTTATGGGACGTGGACTATAAAAGCAAAATTTAAAACAACAAACAACTTTAGAGTTTTTATTTTATAAGAAATCATTTCTAATACCTAATGAACACTATAAGCATTTTGAATAGTATTGGTAAGTGAAGTATTAATCATTGTAGTGAAGAACCTAGGTACCTAGAATTTTATTATGATTTACAAAATTTAGATAGTTTCTTCTTTTTTGCATTTTCTTTTAGCTGCTCCTGCTTTTTTCCCTAGTCCATTGACGCGCATTCTCATAATGTATGATAAAATGAAATCCTTAAGTTCCCCACATGGAGATGTGAACGTTTCACACCTGGTTATCAAGGATTCGGAAAATTAAAAGTGAACATTTTCAATACCTACCTACTTCACTAAATCGGGGAAAAATGTAAAGTGAGACCGTGCTAGTGGTATTCAATATCAATGCGCCATCTGCCGGTCAATGACTGTTATGTCCTATTTTGTGGTTTTTAGAATTGTTCATTGCTCACGCTTATCAATTACTATTGGATCATATCATGTTATCATGATTCATGATAGTGATTTTTGATTTGTGTCTTGTAGTTACAAAAATTGTCCTGATTGTTATATACAACTGCTCTAAGTTCCCTTTAAAGCACGTATTGACGTATCTATTATAGTTTTTACTTATTGCCTACGTTTGAAGTTGGAACCCGTGGTGAATCACTCTGTGCTAAGCTAGTTGTGCCATTTGGTCAATGTTGTAATTTGTATACAACAACCACAGTGGTCCGTGGTAAGTTATTTAAATATATTTTCATATTGGGTATGTATATTGATCATGTTATTCGTTTACAATAATAATACAAATAACTATTTAAATGATAACATTAAGTAGGTATCATGTTTGTATGTATGTACTACGTTACATTAAATTACTGATACTAAAATCTAAATGTTGGTAGTGATTAGTTAATAATTATAGTGGTGATCAATAAACACATATAATAATATTAAAATCAATAGTTAGTACAATAAGTTAAATTATTCTTATGTAAATTAACTACATACCTACCAATAATTCAATGTATTATCACTAGACCTTAAATTGTTATGATTTGGTATGAGTGTATGACCAATTATATAGATAGGTACAAACTTATACTAGTAAAAAACTTATGGCTCAAATTGCACGCATAAATGACTAATTTGCAAAGCTTTATTGACAACAGTAATACATATTACAAACTTTTTACATATGTTATCATATTGATTGTTCCTGGAAGAAATTATTCATAAAAAATCAAATAAAATAGTTTTATATTTTATTTTGTTTTTATAAGCTAAACAATAATATTTTTATTTTCATACCTTTTTCTTTAAGTGTCACAATTGTAATTTTTTTTTCTTATTATAATGTTGAGAAATACAGAACTATACATAGATTCTGCAAAAAAATATGCCAATCAGATAAAATGGTCATCATTTTAATGATCTCTGCTCATTGCTAACACATAAATATAAGAAATAAAATGTAACAGACTATTAAATTATGGCCAGAATGTCGCAAATAGATATTGGACATTACCAATATGACAATCATTGCCACAGACACGATAAGAGTCGATCAATATTACACAATCACTTATTCAGAAATTGGCATTTAAACAGGTAACACAATGACAATCATAAGATATTATTAGCATTTTTGAAAGGAATGTGAGAAATATGAATTGATTATTATACTTTTTTAATTTCATCATTTATGAATGGGTCTGCGATATTAAGAAATCACTAAATGTGCCTCTTTTTTATGCATCCTATCAACGATACACAAGGTAACAATAAACTAAGAATCTTCCACAAGAATGTTCATATTGTGTCTTAAATCATTAGTTTAATAAAAATTGAATAATCGTATCTGATTGTTAGTATAAAAACCAACAAATGTTTAAATGAGACTCTCATTAGTCATTAGTTATTCATTGATCTGTGTGAGTACTTATATTTAATTTAAAAGTAATAAAATCAATATTATTAATAAACTCTTATTGTCTAATAATTAATAATAAGGTGAATCATTTTTAGACTACTATAATAGAGCACTCATTATTTCTGAAACTATGAAAATTACAAGATATTTTAATTTTAGTGTTTCAATTTGACTTTTCAGGCTTAGTTTATCTTATCTGTTTTTATTTAACTATGAATCATATATCTCACTGAGAACAATATGTTTTCATCTTCAACATCTGTAACCACTTACAATCATTCTTGAAATAATAATAGCTCTTCATATTCATATAACTGTCTTACGTCTGAAATAATATAATTATTGCATAATAATTGAGTTTGCTCTAATTTATATCAATATGCTGTAGAGAAACACTCGGCTCACAACCAATGATTTTATTAATCTTATAATTTGAAACACATAAAAATGTATTATAATGTATGAATATACAACACTATATTTAAAGTTTTATGTACCTCTTCATATTTAATAAGTTTGTAAGTTAGGTACCTACATTAACATTTTTCTAAAAATTAGGTACCCATTGTTACTCAGAAGGTACAAAAATTATACATTGGATGTATGTTTTTTTCATAGTGTGCTTGCAATTATTTTATTATGCCTATTTAGAATAATATTATACTATAAAACTCACTAAGATATTTGTTTGATTAAAATATACGTTTCAACACTTACTTCAATTGTCTTGTTCTTTTATATTTATATTAAAATATATATTGATACAGCATTTTTTATTAGGGTTTTAGAATAGAATTATGTTGCATATTTTGACATTTTGTTTAATCAAATATCAATATTAACTTACTACTTTTGAATTTGGGAAAATCAAAAATAGTAGAACATTGTTGTTCTTTTTTACTGCCACTACATAGATCATTAAAGTTAGTTTCTGAAGCTGATGAATATTGGACTAGTGTTTTATATGAAATTTAATACAATCATATAAATAAGAAGCATCTGGCATAACTATACAACATAAATAAAATGATGGGAAAACGCCTGCTATACAATTTATAACTTTACAATATTTACAAAAATGTGTTAAATTAATTTTAAGTATTATTCAGCTGTGTGTTGCAATATGAATTTACCAAAAGATTCAGTTTTCTGTTTCATGCAAAATGATTTTCGATTAACCTTTGGTAAAGGATAAAAAGAATAATATTCATTCAAACTATCAACCACACGGATTCTAATTATTGAGAAACAGAAAGGTTAAGATTGGTTAGGTTATTAGGTTTTTTCAATACATTTATGTATAATTTATTTTAGAAATTTAAAATAGTATAAAAAATATTGTCCATGAACCTTTTGTTCAATGAGTTACATGTATAAATACATGTTTCAATTTAGTATTGCAATTACAATCACCATAAAATAATTAAACACGAAAAAAGTTCAGATAGTAATACCAAAAGACTGAATAATTATTTATGAAAATATAACATTGTGTGCTCAGTGGTTCATTATTGACCGGGTTTGATTGCAAATATACTGATGAATAGGAAAATAATTAGTTTTTACTATTAGAAAATACAATTATGAATTATGACTCGTTCATTTAAAATAATTTAGAATAAATTATAATATTGACGGTGATATTTTTAACAGTGATTAATTGAACGAGAGATGTTTTAAACTTTTGAGGGTGAACAGTATGACACTGCACTGTGGTTTTCGACGACAGAAAGTGTGGTTTACTTTTAACTAATTAAACCTGTTGTTAACATGTTGATTAATTTCTGAGGAGTAGATCATTTTGTACATTCATTAAAATATGCAACCTATATTATAACTTTTTAAATGGTTTAATATTCAAAGTAAATGTTATATTATATATTTAATTAAACATTTTCCTCTGTTAGTGACAGTTTATAATTGGCAGAATGAGTTCCTTGATACATCTGTTGATTTGTGTGTTGGTATTCTTACCATCGTATTGCAGTGGATCTGAAGAGTTCTTTATCAAAGGTAAAGTTCATAATTTCAGATTTAGTTATAATTTTTTTTACACAAATCGTTCAAAAATTCAATGATTAAATGGTTTTTGCATAGATGGATTGAAGATAGAAGAGAGAAACTGGTATCGAAATGTCAGAATCAATGAATTAGAGGGTCATATTAAGTCAGCTAGCAATCTTGGATTTCTTGAAAAGTTTTTATCATATGCAAGCGTGGAACCTAGAAGTCCGGCTCATGGGCAACTAATCGATTCACAGCTGTCTGAAGAAGGATATTCAGTTTATTGGAATGCTGAAATTATTTCTGCAGCTTCGGACTATATATACCATAGCCATTGTCCTCTGTAATAACATAAAAAATATCTCAATTAAAAGACAAAAACTAATATGCATAATTAAATTACCATTTCAGTTCTCGTAAACAATGTGCCAAAGACTTATTGAAACTGAAACTAGACAAGACATCTTTGGGTGATATGTGTTTGTCCATGTACTACAACAAAACTGCGTGCACCGGGATGAACTTGAAGTATCGAAGTCCTGACGGATCGTGTAACAACTTCAAACGTTCCTCTTTGGGAAAGGCCACAACGCCTTATACGCGATTGCTGTTTCCTGACTATGCAAATTGTTTCTATAGTAATACTTCTTAATATTGTTTTATTGATTCATATCACCCCTAACATATTGAACAAGTATACATATTATTTAGATTCAAAGCGTAGCAATGATGGTATTGTACTTACAATGGTATATGGCTTTTTTTCAGTTAGGTTAGACCTAACCTTGACATCATTTTCGATGGCATCACCTTTTCTGATTGAAAAGTAATAATAGTATGTTCATTTCGTTAAGGGATTAGTTTTGAAAAGAGTCGGGGTAAAAGTGAACAAAATAATTTCAATTTAAATCAAAACTAATAACTGTATGGATATTTGAATATTTCACCGTATGTTTATATAAGTTTTCTCCCAAAATTGTAATTTTTTCTCAATTATTTGATTTTTTCTTGGCTATTAATTGCCTTGAGCGAGGATGCTATTTTAGTGTTTTTTCGGTATTAACGTTTTTACTCAGTCAAATATTAGTTTCATTTACATTTATGTTAGTCAATGCAGTGATTTTATTATTCGTCCATACAGGTGTTATCATGGTTAATGAATTATATAGAACACCCTTTGCTAGAAAGCTTAGTATTGCACTTGTCAACGACGAGAACTCACCAGATGACTTCAAGACGATGGCGATGGCGTACTGGGCGATTTTCGTAGGCCACGATCTATCTCACACGGCGATGTCTCCCATGAGTACGATTAAAACATGACGATATATAATTATTGATCGTAATTAATGCATTTATTTGAATTTTAAATCCATAGTGAAAAGGAATAGTTCGGTGAACTGTTGTAATGAACTGAACAATGGACTTTCTCCTCGTGACACACACGAATTGTGCATGTAAGTAACTATAGTTGACTTAGGTCCAGAGAGTGATCCATTTTATGATTTTCGGTGCATGAACTACGTGCGATCGGTGCCGGCGGTGCGTTCCGATTGTACTTTTGGACCAAGGGAACAAGTAAGAGCTATTTAAGATAATACCAATAACGATAAACGGATATTTCACTATGTTAATTTTAATAACTAAAATTAGGTAAATTATTACCCATTTATATTTTTATACTCATATATTTTTTTAACTTTTGCTATTAAAATTTAAAAAAAATAATCAATCTACAAAAAATCAGTGTGCGTTCTGGATCAGCGCATATTCTTTTGGCCTTATTTAGGGTCAAAAACTGACTTTTCGGATATTAAAAAAATCATAAAATAACATGTGTAAATTATTAATGATCACGGTTGATTTTTACAGATGAATCAAGCTACTCATTATTTAGATGGGTCGATGGTATACGGCTCTTCGGCGAAACGGACGTGGTCCTTGAGGACCAAGTTCGGTGGTCAACTGTTGACGAACATGGGATGCGTTCACAATAGCCAAATTGATCCTCTACAGCCGCAGTTTATGCCACTGGAAGACACCGAATCTAACTCGTGCCAGTTTGGGAGCGGCACGTGCTATAGGGCTGGCGACATCCGAGCAAACGCGCTTCCCCAACTGACGGTGATGCACACATTGTGGATGAGGGAACACAACCGGTTGGCCAAATTGCTGTCGCACGTCAATCCGCACTGGGATGACGAACGAATTTTCCAGGAGGCTAGGAAAATCGTAACGGCGTCCATACAGCACATCACATACGCTGAATGGCTGCCTGCGCTGCTCGGTCTAAACTTTACAAGACAGAACGGACTGGAACTGTCGACAAAAGGGTACAGTAACGCTTACAACGAGACCGCTGACCCGAGCGTCAGCAACTGCTTTGCGACTGCTATATTACCGTTCGCTAATTCGATGATAAGTGAATCGATCCAGTAAGTATACAATTATTATAGAAATATTGTTATCATTATTATTGTTTATACAATATAGGTTGATTGTTTATAAGCAAAATGATATCATTAATATTTTAATGTTAATAATTTTACCAAATTGAACGAATATAGTTGTTTTTTTAGGTCACTTTTAACCAGTTTCAAAACCGTACACTAATGCACATAACATTGTTTTCCAAAACTTACTGTCTGATGCTCGTACTACGAAATTAAAACCGAAACCGAATTCATTAGAATCGGTTTCTAGCTCTGCCATAAGCATTGCATTTAAATTGAGTTCCGAATTGACTAACTTAAGATAGTACACTTTATCAATTTAATCACTTTCAATGTTAGGTTATTTATATCGTTCTTACTGCTCTCATAGACCATACTTACGTCGTGTTTACCTTAAAAGGCTACTGAAGCTAGTTAATGTCAGACCCCCCGAGCTCCGCAAATAATTACCAATGTTTTATTAACACGTTGAGGACCATGTTATGTTGTAAACATGTTTGTGATGTGCATGTGTTGGTTGTCGGACACCAGCCGAAAAATAAACGTTAATCATACCATTTTTAGTCAGTTTTATGGTTTTGACCTAGGATATAATACATTTCTAAAATTTTATCCTTCTGTTATTACTATTTTATTCTTTTGTAACCTCTAGTCAACACAAACGAAACAAAAATTATTATTTAGTTTATTTTTTTGCTTGATAGATGACGCAACTATTGTATTTTTGCCATTCAACTTTTCTTGTAGATTTTACTGAAATTTTCTTTCACACCTGTAATAACCGTTCGCTAATTCAATGATAAGTGAATCGATCCAGTGAGTATACAATTATTATTGAAATAGTGTTATCATTGTTATTGTTTATACAATATAGGTTGAGTGCTTATAAGAAAATAATACGGTCGCGTAAAAAAATGTATCACTATATTTGAATATATAAAACATTCCATTTTTAAAATATAATATTTTACTATAAAATGAATAGTTTAATACTATATATTTGTTATATAATAATCTCAGATAATCAATTTGTATATTAACAAATACATAAGTTATTTTTTCACATTGTATTAACTAGCATAATATAACTATTACGTATATCTACTACTTTTTAAACCGTTTACCAACTTACATAAATAATTTTTCTAACAAGCAGGTACTAACTGATTTGGTATTTACAGGTGAGTTTGTTACCTGTTAGGTCTAATGTATGTACACACAATTGCCACGAGCTTATACTTATAGAACCTTATCCATGTTTACTTTAAGCTAATGACTATTTTTAATATAAATTAGATTAGTGCTTTTAGGTTGTTGAGATACCATGATATACACTTGTTGGGCTTAAGTTCGTTCCTTCTGATTATTAGAATGACTCAAAAGTGACTTATCACTATTTAGTTTACATAAACCTCATTGATTATAGTATGTATAATATACGGGATATTGTCCTGTCAACGTTTTGTTTTTAATTTGAAAGATGTTATAGATACATTTGTAGGTTGTATAATTGGTACAGTTGTATAATGAATTAATATATACTGACTGGTTTTTTGTTTAGTTTATATACGGAAGTCCGAGTGATCAACGGAAGTCTATCGCTAAAGGAACATTACAACCGACCGACCGATGTAATGATGAATTACTTAGATCAACTTGTCAGAGGATTATCTACGCAAAATACACAAAAAATCGATATGCTATTTACAAAAACGGTAGGTTTTTAAAAAACAACTTTTTTAAACTTAAAATTATAAAGATGTTGAGAATATAAATTGTATTATCTGTTGAATTTTTTTTAGATTACAAATTACTTGTACACTGAGCATCCAGATAATGTGTTTGGAATGGACATTTTCAGCTTGGATATACAACGAAACCGCGATCACGGTATTCCGTCATATACGGAATTTAGAAAATATTGTGGACTAAAACCTATAATAAATGAACACGACTTTTCCCAGATCATGGTGGAAGGTGTAAGTTTGAAAGTATTAAGATATAAAATGATGATATACTTATTAAATTATTTCTCTACACTATGTAGGCAACTGATAGATTATTAAAGCAATACGAAAATTGGAACGAGATAGAGCTATTGGTAGGCGCATTGTTTGAGAAACATGAAGATGACGCAATGGTTGGACCAACGATGAGGTGTATCATTAGAGAACAGTTTATAAGAACTAGAATTGCAGATAGATATTTTTACGATTTACCAAAAGTATTCAACGAATGTAAGTAATCTGATATCTTTTCAATGACTTATATTCATTGTAAATGTGTTATATTTTAAATTTAAGATCAACTGGCAGAAATAAGAAAAGTAACGCTTGCCAGAGTGTTTTGTGATAACAGTAATAATGTCGAAATGATGCAGAAACAAGTATTTTTGATACCTCAATCGCCTGATTTGCAACATTGTGATTCCCAATCAATTCCAAAAATCAACATCAAACACTGGTCAGAAATGGTCGATTCCATTCGAAAATAACCTCAAACACAACATTGATGTTTTTATTTGCAATATGTTTTATTGTTGAATCTAAAGTAATAGCTTATCTTTTATGAGAATCAAAAGTTTTTTATATTTAATAATAAATAATCATCACTATGCCATTAGTTGAACTTTTTTGCATTTTACCTGTATGTAAAACGTTAATTTTGATAAATATTTTTAATATAAATTAAAAGTCCATATTCAATATATTTTGATAAATTAAAGTTTTGATTCTTTGAAGTACATTTTTAAAATGTTCATATACTTAAATTAATAAACTAAATAAATCATTTTAATCAATTAGATATTCAATGGACAAGACCATTAAGCATAAGTAAAGACTTCTGTTACGGAAATCTGCCTATCATAGATAAAAATACGAAATAAAATTTCATACTACATAGCATCTACATACTAAAATGATTAGTATTAAAATATAATATCGAAATGTTGACTAAAAATAAAATGATATGTTATTGATAACTATCAAGCATCAAAAATACATTCGAAAAAAAAATTGAAATTACTCACAACTATATGATTACATTTCATAAAAAATCAAATATTTACAGACTTGCATAAACATACTAATACTATCTATCAACATGTTTTAATTCGATTTTTCATTGATCTATACCACACTAGAAATCCTATAGGTGAGATTATTTTTCAATAGTGGCTGGGGGTGAGTTAAGTCACATTGTGTAGTGAGTGGGTGAGCGAGTAGGAGTAGGCATTTGGATCTCCCTTTTTGTACAACTAGTGTTTAAGGGCTTCTTGACCAATCTCTGAATGTGTTTAATATGAAATACCTATGATGGAACTTACAGTATATGAGTTCGTATACCAAATATATCATTATTCTAAAAATTGGATTTAGATTTCTAATTATAATACGTATAAAATACTATATTTTAGCAAGAAAATTAATATCTATTTAATCAACGATTTAAAATGTATATTTTAGTAAAAGCATAGTAATTTAAAATTTAATTAAATTTGAAAAGTGAATTTATTTGTTGAGAGGATGACACCCATATATTTTTTGTATCCACGTCATACACGTACAACATTTTCATTCAATAGTAACTGTAAGCCTCTATTTTTGATATGAGGGTGAATTGACTAACTATCAAATTGTCTGGTATTACAACTTATCTGTGCTGAAGCTTGTGTTTTTTCGATATTATAATTTTCAAGCAAGATGTGATGTTGGTTAATTTTTGTTATTTCACATACCAACCTATATCTTGCTTAAAAGTAAAAATGTCGAAAAAGTCGAAGAGGCATCGTAACGTACTATATTTATATTTCTAAGTTGTTAAGTAAATTCAACCAAAACGACAATTACTCATGTACTCCAAAAAAAAATTAGTTTCGGGTACAGTTTATTATTTGTGTCAAAAAAAGAAAAACACATGTTTTTCTTGACATAATATTTGCACTAAATTTACCTGCACACATAGAAAACTGTTGTAGATTCATTACCAATACGGGTAAATCTCATACACATTTGAACGTTAGATTCCGACTAAGGTTGGTTTGGTGTTGAGACAACAGTAAGTTCTTAAGAGGACGTGATACCCGCATGCGTTGTCTCCGTTACAAGTGCGTAACATAGCAAATCGTACACTCGGCAGAACACGTAGCTCCATTAATTTAAAAATTAAAGTGAATTGACCTCTTATAAAATCTAAAGGTAAGATTATTATCTAGACAACCTCATAGGCTTTTTATTATATTTTTATTTTAACCCGAGTTATAAGTTTTTTAAGATTTATAAAAAATTTACAATTTTAAAATACTCATAACTCGCGTTAAAATAAAAATATTATAAAATACCTATGAGGTTGCCTAGATAATAATCTTACCTTTAGATTTGACAAGAGGTCAATTCGCACTAATTTTTAAACTAACGTAGCTACAAGTGTTCGGCTGAGCGTAAAATTTACCACTTGTAAGACAGAGACAGACAACAAATGCATGTATCACGTCCTCTTAGGCGGGATTTTCAAATTATCTATCTATTTTGGTCCTGTTGACTTCCAAATTAGGTTATAATAACAACAATTTCTGGTTAATATAAATGACATATGTAGTTGGATTTACTATCATATTAGATGTTAAAACAACACCAACCTAATGTTATCATAGATATATTATTAATTAATATTTTTTTAAAAAATGCAAAATACGAATTGACACGGCTTAGTCTTCTCCATCCGGCCTCAGATTCTTTCTAGCTACTCCAGGTTGTTAGAGCTACCTAGCTAGCTATCGACTACACCTATCCAGTCATCCAGATAATGAACCTATACAAAAACATGGTATTTAAGAGAATGTTTTTATAATATATATTTTGCATATACTAGTGTGACTTTAAATAGAAATGTAAGTAGTATGTTTTGGTCGGTTCTGGGTCCCCCGCAAATCCAGGAAATCCAGTTACCCCACCCAGCCTATAGTTATATGCTATCGCGACCGTGCTCGGCAGTGCCCGGCAGTGCCCTTCCCCTCCCCCTCCCATACATTCCCCTACAATCCTATACCGTATGTGATCATACCCCCCCCTCAAAAAAAAAAAATATATATATATAAAATAATACATATAGATATCATCAAAATATTTTAAGTATAAATTAAACAGAGTAGTGGTAAATTTTAAATGATATACCTACATTAATATAATATATTAATAATATGTATAGAACATAAATAAGTAATGATATTTAATAATATTAATGTTAAATAAGAAAGTGTAAATGTATAATTGTAATAGTTTCTCTTTATGATT